AATGCTTGAAACAGGAGTTTTTGTTCGTGAAGAATCAAAAGCACAGAAAGTCAAACAACTCAAAATGTTGAAAACTCATCTTTTTTTTGAAAAAATAGCAAAATGTAAATTTCTCTCTTTTAACCGGATGTGATCCGTTTTAACAACATTTAAGCTTTTTTTTCATGAATATAAACTTGATGTTCACTTCTATCACCTGTAAAAAATTGACGTTATAAGTTGAAAAAGAAGTGGAAAAATACGAATTAACTTTTGTTAAGCGACTTGTGGGACACCCTGTATATCCTTTTTTCTGAATTTCGAGCGTGGAAAATGATCAGATTTGCTTAGATGAATGTGCCCTGCGATGGATGGATAACCTTTAGGGCGTTTTTCATAGAAAAAAATTCTAAGTTCTGCTCTATCTATCGGCAAAAGCGCCGACTGATTTCGATTAATGAGCATGGAGATATTCAAGATTCTTATCGTAGCGTTATTTATGGGAAACCCTGTAAAGAAATTTTGAACTAGTTTGTAATTCATTTCCGAGATTAAGTCGACACATAGATTGATATTACATAGTACTTATATGTGGTCATAAGAAACTCTCCGTAAGGTAATAACAGCTTGGTGGACTTAATATACAATCTCTCAAAAAGTATTTAGAAATTATTTGTACTTTGGGCTTCTTGAAGTGTGTTGTAAGATCGATGAATAAATTTTTCTCTTTTCATCAATGAATGGCTTCTACTTTGTAACCTGCTATCCATAATTGATAGCTTGATCTCGAATTTTGTGGATTTGCTCAAGGTAGGAGCCTATTGTATAAATAGAATAAAATGAGGTTTCTACTATTATGTGCATCGGATGCTCTCATTTAACGCGCAAATACCATGCACTGATGTGGAACAGATACAGAACAACCGACTTTCTCTATCCACAAAATAGAATAAAAACAGAAGTTTATTTTCAAAAAGAATGGCAATCAGTTTTTCAACTTTTATTAATAGCTTCCAGCGCGAAAGAAAACTTCGCTCGTTTCCTACAGACTCCAAAATCTCGTTTGAAGACTCGCAAGATTGTCAGGGGTTAATCTCCTTTTGTTATGCAATTATTGAGAAAATACTCAGAGGCACACACTATTTTGATGTAATGCATGTGGTAGACGTCGAACAGTTCGGATAGTAAATATCTTTGAGGTCAAAAGCTGGTTTGAGAACATCGCGTTTGACCATTTTCCTGAACGAGAGAACAGTCGAAGCAAAGATCGGTTGCTACAGCTTTAACGGGTCCAAATGCATGAAGAAAAAGCAAACCAACAAAGAAATTTCCTTTTTTTCATATTAGACAACAAATCAAGAAACCTCCTACAAATCATAAAGTTCGCCACTATTCTCTTTCTCGTAGAGAAGAGTCCAGCAGCCATAAATTGTTTGCTTGCTTGTGTGTCCGCAACTCACTGTTTGGTCGCCCGACCACGAGTAGAGACGGTGAATCGTTTTCGTAGTTAAGCTTGACCAAAGGGTGATCGAGAGTGGGGAGTTCGAATCTGAACTTAGTTTTACGATATTTAATTGATTTATTATCAGTTATTTTTTGATATTATTGGTTTTTGGGAAAGTTTGAGCATAGGATAATTGAGGGTGGAGAGTTCGAATGTGAAGTCAGTTTGACAATATTTGATGGAGTGAAATCAGTTATTGATCAGTTAAAACTTGTTATTTTTTACTAACTCGTGTATTCGCACTTCACTGATTGGTCGAAAAAACATCGACCCAGAGTGATATTTCGAGGTCAAAAACATTCATCCAGAGTGATTTCGGGAGTGCAAAAAACAGCCTTTCAGGGTGTGGGTGTGAAATACAGTTGAAGACTCACGCACTCACTCTCACATCCACAACCTGCTCCTCCCTGTAAAATTTCGAATATCACGAACAATATACTTGGTTAATCACTCGGTAATACAAAGTCTACGAGAAAGAGCTGAGCGAGTCCTCAGGCGAGCGTTACTTGTTCTGTTTGAATTCTAATTCGCTGTCGAACATATCTATAAAGAAGAAAGTTTGTCTGTTCTTCATGCATTTTCTTAGCATCGCTACAAATGCAACCAAATTTTCCAGGAAGCATCCTTGCAGCCGGGAGCAAGTCAACGACCACTTTTCAGCTGAAAAAGTTTCATCAAAAGTCCAAAAAGGGTCGGACTATGCATCTGACCAGTCAAAATACAGCATTCCGAATTATCGTAGGCCTAATGAGCGGGAGGTTCTGATTGTGGCTAAGTCTAAGACGTGTAATCAAGGGTTTTCGAGGATGATGAGCTTGAATCCGCGGTCTGTTTGCCTCGAAGTTAGCTTGTTTTGTTCCCGCGAATGTGAAAGGTAGGGTCATATGAAAAATAGTTTGTATGTGTGTTTGACTCAAGTTCAGAAACATCGAGATCTAAATTTTCTTAGAAAGCGTTTTTTCAGGGTTTTCCGACGCGAAGAAGTTGAATCCGAGGTAGATTCCGGTCCAACTGGGTGGGAAGAGGGGTTAGAGTGGGTTGCATGACTCACCGGGGTCAAAGGAACATCGAAAGCTGAATTTCGTCAAAAGCCTTTGTTTGGTGCGGAGAAGTCGAATTTGAGGTGGATTTGATTCGACAGGGTAAGGGGGAGGAGGCGGGCGATGACTCCTCGGGATCAAAAGAACATCGTAATCTGAACTTCAGCAAAAAGCGTTTCTAAGGATTTTCCAGTGTAGAGAAGTCGAAACCGATGTGGATTCGATCCAGCAGGATAAGGAGCGAGTGAGAGGGGGTGTAAATGACTCACTGCGGTCAAAGAAACATCGAAATCTGATTTTCCGGAAATGACATTTATAGGGGTACGAGGTGAGATTTCACTCAGTCTTTAATAAAACTCACTTTTCGGCGTTTTCTTAAGGAATTTCGTCATAGGTTCACGAAAAATCAAGTTTATCCCGGTTTACTTTTTCACAATCTAACCTGATGCGGATCGACCATATCACTGTAGTCCCTCAGCCGTCTACTCTTTTTGAAGGCAATGAAGTTGAAGGTGAAGATGGAAGACCTAAAAAACTGAAGGACTTGAGGGATGTGAAGGACTGGGAGACATGAAGAACTATGGGACTTGGAGCACCGGGGAACTTGAGGAATTAGAGGACTTGAAGGACTGAGGGACTGCAGTGAAGGATCAATTTTCCATAGCATAGTCAAAAAGTAAACCGGGATGAACATATTTTTTTGTCGATCCCTCTCTATTTGCCGCTATCTTTTTGCACTGGGCTTGGTGTTGAGTGTGGTGTATGCGAGTGAGCATGAGTAAAACGGAAGACACAGAAACTCAAACTATTTGCTGAACTATCGTACTTTAGTGTGTATGTGAGTGTATGCACGGCGGGATATGTTCTGCTGACAGATGCAAAACTTTCGACCACACACCTATCTGTATTCACTGCCGTTTTCTAACACGTCGAATTTTCACCACGGAGGTCTCCCGAGCAAAGCCGGGTACCTCCGCTAGTACTAAATAAGACCACAAGTTATTTCAATCAATCTCTTGAAAGCGATAAAATGTTCGGCTGACTCCATTTTCTGTCCACCATCACTCAGTCTGCACTATACCTGCTTGTTACTCAACTCGAATGCAATTGTTTGATCTCTATTTCGCGCGCTGAATGACAAAATAGAGAAAATTTGGGAGCTCTTTTTGAAGCAAAGTTGGGCAAATGTATGAACGAAAAAATCACAAGGAAAGAAACCAGTAACGCCTGAGCCGAAAGTTTTCGGACAAAATGTCGACCTCAAGAAAAGCATCTGGACGCTTCTATAAGTATCTCATTTTTATACCATTTTGTAGCCCGTCTCACGCTCTTTCTAGATATATATAGCAGACTTTTGACGATGAGTCTTTACGTGGCAAAACGAGTCGATCTTCGAAGACGTGTCGATGCATTACTTGGACGGATGAGCAAAAGTGAAACTGTGAAACATTTTCAAATGGAGAATAAGGAGAAGGCTGAAATCTAGTAGACAAAAGTGAGGTACCTATTAGTGCATCGTCTTTTGCTTTTATTTTCTCATTTTCTTGTTTTCAATTTTGTAATGATGTGATTACCATTCTGTTTTTGACAAGAAAATGAGAAAATAAAAGCAAAAGACGATGCACTAATAGGTACCTCACTTTTGTCTACTAGATTTCAGCCTTCTCCTTATTCTCCATTTGAAAATGTTTCACAGTTTCACTTTTGCTCATCCGTCCAAGTAATGCATCGACACGTCTTCGAAGATCGACTCGTTTTGCCACGTAAAGACTCATCGTCAAAAGTCTGCTATATATATCTAGAAAGAGCGTGAGACGGGCTACAAAATGGTATAAAAATGAGATACTTATAGAAGCGTCCAGATGCTTTTCTTGAGGTCGACATTTTGTCCGAAAACTTTCGGCTTCGGCGTTATTAGAGCAATTCATCTGACACGGGAAATAGACACTTTTATATGAAAATAAGCGAAACCTCTGTATAATGAACAGCTCCGTAAAATGTGAATGCTATTAGATATTTTCGATGGTGTTCACATTAGACAGGGTTTAGTGTATGCTTTCACGATTTGGAACAAGGAAACCAAAAGAAAGGTAGGAGTGGTATGAGCGAATAACTTTCCAAAGGAAGGGTAGTTGCAATTTTTCTGGAAATCAATACTATCGTCTCTTGCAGCATCGGACAAGTTTTGGGGCAAGCCTGATTTATATTTGGAAGTGGGACTGAACTGAGTTGAAATAATCTACAGCGGCATCTGAGTTTGACTCTAAAACGAGCTCTATCGACAGTCCGTCATTTTTCTTCCTGTCACGTGCTTTCTCATACCTATCCTTTACTTCGTCTTCCGATCAAACCTGGTGATGAGGACTCGGTCGAATGAGCTCCTTTTCTCTCCGATCAAACACAGATGCTGCTTCGACTTCAGAATCTTTTGAAGTGCGAGCACAATTCATGGTGGTCTCAAGAAACAACAGCGAATTTGAATGCTCACGAATATCACATCTCAGAAAACGACGCATGAGACTAAAGTTTGTGTCCAACTACTAGACTGCAGAACACAAGTTAATATGATCATCCTCTTTTTATCTCTTTATCTCGATAAAGAAGAATCATTCCACCTTATTCACTTCGTCAAATCTGCTAATGTAGTACGTTTAATATGATCCCAATGAAAGAAAAAAAGAGAAAAATGCAGGTTCATAGTCGAAAATATGTGCACTATTCTAACAAGATTTGATTGATTTCAGGCTTGACTTAAAATAGACGAAGAAGTCTTGCGCTAGGTTGAGTAAGCCATTATCTATAATGAGGTCTTCGAATATAGAAACGTCTTCCAGTCTGTGGAATTACGCATATTTGTAACTGTTGTAGAGCGATGTTTCTTATGTGAAGCGTACGAAATACCATCATTACATATAATAAATATTCGAGTTCGCCCGACAGGTGATACATGCACGGTAGAGACTTCCTGCAAAGTCCTGATTGGAGATCTAATAGTTACTGTGTGCCAGAAAGTCGGTTTGAATTCGTCGCCTGAGCATTACTATCTTATATTTGACGGACATGAACTGAACATCAATAATACGATCCGAGAATCGGGTATAATCAATGTCACAGAGAATTCTAATCATAATTACCCAGAACTACGATTAAAATTTTTATATCAACTCCAAGAATCCAGTCATATTGCCGCACACGTTGTGCTTACCTCACCTGAAGAACTCGTTTACCGTGAAGTTTTCGAGATACCCGATTCACCAACAAAACAAGACATTATGCCTGATTTTTTAAAGCCATTGATTGAACAAACCTGTAAACATAAATCGCAATCTTCAGCATTCTCGTCAAAATTAATTTCAATGCCCGTCTTTACAAAACAAGTTCTTGATGAATTGCCATCTGTACATATAAGTGTACCACTAAAACCAAATGAATTTGATTGGAATGAATTTTTGCAATACCTGGCCATCGATCTCGAAATTGACAAAAATGACATGTTTTTAATGAGTGCACAAGAAGGAAGCACGAAATATGAAATCAAGTTCAAGGCTATAATTTCAATGTCTCCGCAAAAAATGAAGAAAATTTCTGAGAAAATTAGTTTGATCGTTTTACCAACTAGCAAAAGTGCTGAGTTTATCGCTCAACAAAAGTTATCCGATGATATTAAAGAAATTCCGAAAACTGAAGCAAAATTGTCCAATTTTTCTGAAAATCAAAGTTCATTCTCGTCCGAAAATTTGACGGACGATGATATCGATACAGCTCTTGAACTTATGCAACGACCAGCAATTATTGATCCACAAGTTTGGAAATATCTCAGAGAAAAGAGTCGTAAGATTAGCGGTGCCATTCTTCATGCTTTTCAAAGATCACTAGTCGAATATGTTATTGAGAGTATGTTACTTGTTCAAAATGAAGAGCTTTATGACAAATATATTAAATGTGCGGTTCATGGTGAAGAAATGGTACTTTTCCATGGAACGAAGAGTGCTAATATGGATGGTATATTTGATATGAATTTTAAAAATCTACATACGACCGACTCAGGTTGGTATGGTCAAGGAATATATTTCAGTAGTTCACCTGAATATTGTGTTACCTATGCGGAAAAATCGTCTGGAAGCAGCATCATGTACTTAATATGCAGCCTTGTAAAAGTGGGTAACTCACATACTGTCAAAGATATGTTCTATGAGGGAAAACCGATGCATGCCGGCTCGGACTCTCATTATGTGAAAGTCGATGCAAAAGGCTATCCAACTAAAGCAGACAACTCCTTTTTCGAGGAGTTTGTTATCAAAAAGAGTGACCAAATTCTTCCACTCTACATTGTCGGTCTACGCAAAGTTCATCGATTTGTTCTCTGGCGCGATGTCAAAATTACCAATAGTGAAAACAATGCTCTATTCGCACGGATGAAAGAACGTTACAATTTTAATATTTACGGAAGCGAAACATCGACTGATGCACTGGCTATCTTGAAGTGCAAGCTAGACGATCCGAAGATGCAATGTGTGATAGCAACGAATGGAACCGATGACGGTGAAGACTTCGTACGTGAATGTCGAAAGATGCAGCCATCGGTACCAATTATTGTCTACTGCATGAATGTTAGTTATCATCGAG